CGACCCGTCTCCCCCCGTGCCCGGGATGGGCTCCTCCCGACCCCTGTTCCCCAACGCTACGTGCCTCCCCATGCCGCCGCCCCGCGGCCTCGGCTTCGGCTCCTGCCTCGGGCGGTGGCACCGCTCGCGGCCGCGCGGGGCCGGCCAAGAAGAAGAACCGTCGGGGTGCTCGCGGCGCTCCGCCCATGCCCCCGTCGACGGCCCCGGGATCTTCTGCCACGCCCGGGCCCGTCTCTGGTCTCCCTCGCCCCCCCTGTTTCAGCTGCGGGGTGGGGGGCCATTCGCAAGTCAACTGTGTCAATCCCCAATGCTGCTACCTCTGCAAGGATCCGGGCCACCCCGCTCTCCTATGCCCGGATAGACCGGTGGTGTCGGAGCTCATGATGTACGGGCACGGTATCGATGGGTTGGGCTTCTTCCACCTCGAGGTCCCCGACGTCCCACCGCCCTCTCCCACCCTCCAGGCGGTCGTCACGGTCGTCGACGGGGTGGCATCCCCGGAGATGATTGAGGCCGAGCTCAACCACCTCTACCGCCGCCAGTGGGACTGGGAGTGCAGTGATCATGTATATATACCTCTCCAGAAACTTGCTTTGGTGACCGGTTGCTTGCAGGTTCTGATGTCCCCTGTCTCCTGACTTTGCAGAGCACGAGACACATGATGATTTATGACTAATACTACTAGCAATACATACACTGATCTTCGGTTCCAGAGGACGGCAACAGAGGTCATTGCCTGGCAGAAACGGGGGACAGAGGAACTTATCGAAGAATTATCGTCCTCCAGTGACTGCATTAGGTGCCTCTTGAATGTCTCCAGATGCAAGTGTCATCCGATGCTCCTGTGATGGCGGCTCCAAGAAGAGCGTGAGCGGCAGCTTGTTCCCCTGCTCATCAACTGCTGCCGCGGGCTCCCTCAGGTCCACCAGGTCGCTGGTCCGAGAAGGGCATCGTTGCGCTGATTCTTCGATTCGAGGGGGACTTCTGTTGCGCGTTTCTTTTCTTTTCTTTATTTCTTTCTAGAAAAATGGAATGCGTCGTTGCATTTCGCCCGCTACGACGACAACGACAACTACAGCGGCCGTGACCTCGTCATCCCGAGCTTCTTCTTGCAGGGTATGCTTTGCTTCCCCACCTGTGGTGCGCCGTTTCTTTGCGTTTGTTCTGAAGTCAAATCGTTCTGATCAGCTTCTTGCAGGATGTTGATTCTGCAGACATGCTCGAGCCGCACAATGCACCGACCAGTAAGGCCCGTCTGCTATCTCTGATGGAGACCGGCCTCTCCTCCACTGTTGGGATGTCACGTCTCAGACGGTGGTTGACGAAGGAGGACAACGACGCGGTGTACCTCAAGGTGCCAATGTCGGGGATGACGAAGGAGCAAGTGAAGGTGAGGGCGGAGAAGAACATCCTGGTGATCAAGGGCGAGGGCGAGAAGCAGCCCTGGGACAGCGAAGACGACTCCGCGGTGCCGAGGTACAACCGCCGCATGGAGATGCCTGCTGACGTGTACAAGATGCACAAGATCAAGGCTGAGATGAAGAATGGCATCCTCTGGGTGACCCTGCTCAAGGTGAAGGAGGAGGGGCCCAAGAACATCTTCCACGTCAATCTCAAGTTGAGAGGCGAGTCAAGTAGTCCTTAGTGGTAGTACTCATGGAAGATGGCCCGTGCGAGAGTATGAGACACCTTGTTGATTTGGTGATGTTTGGTGTCTTTCTTTCTTTGTTTTGCTTCGTTGATCGTCTTGGATCGTAGTCTGGTGGTGAAGTTGGTTTAATTTCTTCAAGTTTGGCATATGATGAACTTACATTGGTGGTGAAATTGGTCATGAAACTATGTTGATTTCCTCAAGTTTGGCATATGGTGAACTGATTTGGTGCTGAATTTGGCGTGAAACCTTGTTGATCTCCTAAGTTTGGCGTGCTACACTAATTTAGTGGTGAAATTGATCATGGACTTTGTTGATTGCCTGAAGTTTGGCTTGATTAACTACTTTGGTGGTGAGATTGGTCTTGGAAATATGTTGATCTCCTCAAGTTTGACGTGATGAACTGATTTGTGCCGAGTGTGTAGTCTCTGATCCATGTTTGATCCTCACTGTTCCGTAAAAAATAAATTATGTTTATCCTCTGTTCTTGTTAGAACAGTAACTCTTGGAGTTTGTAGATGTAGTGTTTTTATGTGAACAACCAAATGAGATAGGCATTTCCTGGAGCATTTTGTTGATTTCCTCAAATTTGCAATGAACTGATTTGTGCTGAGTAGTTTCTGATCCATGTTTGTTCCGGTGGAGGGGTGTGGGATAGAGAAGCAAATCCAAACATTTCTGATCCATTGTTGTTTGGATTTGAGTCAAGTGATATGTATGCTAGAAGACATAGATATCTGTGTTGGTATACAGGGTGTTCAGTTGAATGAATCGAAGCACTACATTGAACCAGAGCACTTTGGGGCTTTGTTTCAGGTATAAGGGCGATGAAATAAGATGTATTTGGCCCATGAATCCACCTCATACCTTGTGCGACCCCTCTTAATAATGTGGTGTTCCTAAGTGAGTTGAATAGATGTAAAAAAATGAAGCTTCAAGTTAAATAGATGCCATACCTTTTATGTATGAGTCTACTGTAAGGGCATTCTTGTCCCTAAATAGTTTTGGTGATTGATGACAATGCCTTTGCGGACTAATCGTGTGTATTGAGCTTTTCAGATACATCACGACTAAATACAAGACGATTTGATGCCCCTCGAAAATTATTCAAGACGGCGTTTCTCTACGGTTCGGTTCGGTGGAGTTGAGTCGTAGAAGAGCCGTACTATTAAGAGGGGGTCCGCTTTGGAAAGGTTTGGGTGGAATCTCACGTACACATTCCCTTTTGCACCGCCTTTCCTCGAGCTCCTTGGAGTGTTCCTCCGTCTCACCTGGTCTCTGCGATTTGAAGGCCTCCGCCTTGCTCTTCTCAGGCTAGCGGTAGTACTGCTCTTCTGAGCGGTACTACCGCAGGAGCCAGCGGTAGTACCGGGCTCCGGCACGGTAGTACCGCGAGCTCTGGTCTGGCACCGCTGCTCAAGCGGTGGTAGGCGCAGATGTAATTTTTTACATCCGCGCTCCCCGCGGTAGTACCGTGGCGCCAGGCCAGGTTCAGTAGCAAGTGCGGAGGTAGGGGTGGATGTAATTTTTTACATTCGCACCTTTCACGGTAGTACCGCACCCGTGGTCGCAGTAGTTCCGTGTCGGATTTTTGCACGACAATTTCTCAGCGGAGGTGGTCACGGATGTAATTTTTTACATCTGTGCCTACCGGGCCTGGCCTGCGGCTGTCTTGCGGTAGTACCGCATGGGGCCGCGGTAGTACCGCTCCGGCGGATCGACCGCGCCCTATTAGTGCTCCTTTTGTCAGGTCTGGACTCTGCCGTGCCCACTGTAGTACCGCGGTTTGCCGCGGTAGTACCGCAGGCCCGTGCGGTAGTACCGCGCCTGTGGTGCGGTAGTTTCGTGGGTCGCGGGCTGAGTGGTGGGTAACGGTTGGAATTATCCCCCCATTATAAAAGGGGGTCTTCTTCTCCAAGAAGACTCACCTCTTCCATCCCTAAGCTCCATTGTTGCTCCAAGCTCCATTTTCGCCCGATCTCTCTCCCTAGCCAATCAAACTTGTTGATTTGCTCGGGATTGGTTGAGAAGGCCCCGATCTACACTTCCACCAAGAGAAATTTGATTCCCCCCACTTATCCCTGGCGGATCTTGTTACTCTTGGGTGTTTGAGCACCCTAGACGGTTGAGGTCGCCTCTAAGCCATAGTCCATTGGGGTGAAGCTTCGTGGTGTTGTTGGGAGCCTCCGATTAAGTTGTGGAGATTGCCCCAACCTTGTTTGTAAAGGTCCGGTTGCCGCCTTCAAGGGCACCAATAGTGGAATCACGGCATCTTGCATTGTGTGAGGGCGTGAGGAGAATACGGTGGCCCTAGTGGCTTCTTGGGGAGCATTGTGCCTCCACACCGCTCTAACGGAGACATACTTCCCTTCAAAAGGAAGGAACTTCGGTAACACATCCTCGTCTCCACCGGCTCCACTCTTGGTTATCTCGCGCCTTTACTTTTGCAAGCTTACTTGTGTTGTTTCCCTTGCTTGCTCGTGTGCTTGTTGTTGTTGCATCATATAGGTTGTTCACCTAGTTGCATATCTAGACAACCTACTTTGATGCAAAGTTTAATTTGGTAAAGAAAAGCTAAAAATTGTTAGTTGCCTATTCACCCCCCCCCCTCTAGTCAACTATATCGATCCTTTCAATTGGTATCAGAGCCTCGTCTCTTTATTAGGGACTTTGCCGTCCGAAGAGTATGGTTGACACCATAGACGGTGGGGAGGAGCACTCCGGTGTGAATCTGATCTTGTCTACGGGTAATGGGGAAACCACGGTGTCCCATGAGGAATTCAATGTGGCCTTGGACACATTGAAAACCTCCATGACAACCACGGTTGAAAGCATGTTTAATAAATTCTTAGAAGGACTTAAACTACCTACCTCGCCGCTGAAAGTGGGTGATCCCACTAACAAGGTGACGGATGCTAACTCCGACAAGAGGGAAGCTAATAGTGAGAAGGGTCCTTCTACTAGTGGTAGAAATGGCACTGGCATCTTTGCCCATGTAGAACCTCCAATTTATGGAGGACCGATTCCCTCTACTCATTTAAATCATGCCGGTCCTCCTCCTAAGATTGTGAAAAATGAGGATTTTGATTCTTGGGTGTATCGCTTCAAGCGTCATTTAAATCATGTGAATACTAATCTTTGGAGAATCATTGAAGAAGGTTTCTATCCACATGACCGAAGCAACTTCACTCCGAGAGAAGTGGTGGATAATCAATTCAATGAGAGTGCTCTCTTCATCATCCAAGATGCAATCCTTCCCGAAGATCTCCCTCATCTTCGACCTCATGCCATGGCCAAAGACGCATGGCAATGCGTTGTGTCTCTCTATCGAGGAAGTGCTAGCATTCAACGCTCCAACTATGAAGTGGTGCAAGATGAAGCCGATGAGTTTGCAATGAAAGAAGATGAAGAACCTCGTGAGCTCTTTCTAAGAGTGACCAAACTCACGGTCTCACTCCGAGATCATGGGAGCAAGGACATGGATGACAATTGGATCAAGCGCAAGTTCCTCAAGGCCATGATGCCCTACAACAAGGCCAGGTCCTCCGTCATTCGTCAAAGACCGGACTTCCACTCCATGACCTCAAGTGAAGTGTTGGATGAGTTTGTTGCAATGAGCATCTTGGACAAGACCGCCGACAATGCGGTGCTCCGTTCTCAAAGGGCAAAGAATCCCAACCTTGCCTTGAAGGCCAAGGTTAGTGTGGAAGAAGAGGATGAAGAGGAAGATGAGGAGAGCAACCCCGAAGACACGAAATATGATTATCATGAGCACATGGCTCTTGCTTCAAGACAATTTTGGAGCAAGAAGAATACAAGATCCAACTTCAACAAGAACAACTCAAGTGGCTTCAAGGGCAAGCAACGAGTTAGAACTTGCTTCAACTGTGGCAATGTGAGCCATTTTGTTGCGGATTGTCCTTACGAGAAGCGGGAAGACAATGGTGGCAAGTTCATCCGAAAAGACAAAGCCAAGTCCTTCCCCAACAAGAACAACTTCACCAAGAAGACTCTTACTCGTGGATTGGTGGTTCAAGAAGAATACCATGAGGATGACGATGATGATGAAAATGGAGAAGCAATGGCCATGGCCTCCGTTGCCATTGCTACCACTCCTCGGGTGTCTCTCTTTGATTCACCCAACGAGAACATCACCGCCAAATGCCTCATGGCGAAAGCCTCTAACAAGGTAACCCCCAATATCAAAACCACCATCATTACTAATCCCTCTTTGGAGGGTTGCACTGATGAACATGATGGGTCTAATGAGGAAGTGAATGAATTTGAGTCATTTATGAGTAAGCTCAAGGGCAAATCCAAGAAGCACTTTGTTGCTCTCTTGGAACAACTTGGTGAAGCCAATGACATGATCGAGGCTCACGAAGAAACCATCTCTAAGATGGAAAGTCATAGTCGTGACTATGCCGATGAGATATCGGATCTCTCTAATTCTCTTGAGGAAGAGCATGGGCATCATTTGACTCTTGATGAGTCATACAATGATGACCATGCTAAGTTAAAGAAAGATCTTGATCATGCACTTGTCGTGTCTCGTGTGCTAACCTCCGAGAAGGCTAAACTTGGGGTTGATCATGCTAGACTCAAGGAGGAGTTTGATGTGCTTGACAAGGCCCTCAAGGTCTTTAAGGGGCTAACCTCAAGGAGTCTCATGCTCAACTCCAAGTTAAGCTAACCAAGGAAAAGGCCACCTTTCCTCATATGGTATTAATTGATAATGCATATGCTACTAACCCGTGTTGTGAGCATGTGCATCTTGTGGAGGAGAATGCCAAGTTGAAGGATCAACTTGAGAAAGGCCTTGTGACATGCATTCAAGGTGAGAAGAACCTCAACGACCTTTTGAGCAATCGAAAGGAAGTTGTGTCCAAGAAGGGAATTGGGTTTGCATCTAAGTCCAAGAATAAGAAGAAGAACAACAAGACCAAATGACCTCCTCCTCTCAAGCAAACTTTTGTGAAAGAGGGAGAGGGTGC